GGGGGCTAATTTCTGTAAGGTGAGGTCACAATGGGTTGGGCCTACTTCCAAAATGAAGGCTTTTAAAAAAAATGTGGTGGCACATTGGCTCAGTGGTTAGCACTGCTGCCTCACAGCACCAGGGACCAGGGTTCGATTCCAGCCTCAGGCAACTGTCTGTGCGGAGTTTGCACATTCTCCCCGTGTCTGCGTGGGTTTCCTCTGTGTGCTCCAGTTTCCTCCCACAGTCCAAAGATGTGCAGTTTAAGTGGACTGGCCATGCTAAATTGCCCCTAGTGTCCAGGGATGTATAGGCTAGGGGAAATTAGCCGTGGGAAATGTAGGGTTACAGGGATGGGATGCTCTTTGGAGAGTTGGTATGGACTTGTTGGGCCAAATGGCCTGTTTCCACACTGTAGGGATTCTGTGACTGAACTGTTTTCACCACATTTTTAAAATCTTTTTGCGCCCTTCATACCCATGTCTTGTCTGCCTGTACATCTGTTTGTGAAAGGGGAATTTCAGAAGGGGCAGAATTTAAGTTATACAGTTATAAGGCAGCATTTTCTGTTTCTAACTTAAAGACAATTTGCTCAGAATAAACAATCATTTTCTTGTTAAGTACAGAAAACTTGAGAGTTTTTTCTTTAATTTGAGTTCAACAGTCAGGTAAAGTGGAGAATTTTGACAGTTTGACTAAATCTCATCACATTAGCAACAACGCCAGGGGCTTGATTTCCAACACACCCCTAGTGGGTCATGATAAAATGTATCATTTAATACAAACAAGATCTTGCTCTGGCACTAGGAACTGTACTTTCTTGGACATCGACCAAATAGCTCAGCAGTTATGCAAATAGTGGACTGTTACCTCAATAATGTTATAACTTTGATACTAGATGAAACTTTCTTATCCTCTTCATAATATACTTAAAGTCCAAACATAGAACATTCCATGGTAGGGCCTTACATGAAGGTACTTCTAAGAGAGCTGACGCATTGATTTTAATTTTCTAAAATTTCCTAGATTCAGGGAAGGAGCTATTAGAATGAAAAGCAGTAAAAAAATAAAAACAGAGACACAAAAGCAGAAACAGGACAGTTAGCTTAACGCTGGTCATTGGGAAAATATTAAAAGCTAATAAGGATCCAGGTGTCTTGATAAAACACAAGTTCAAGCTAATCAGGCAGAATCAACATTTTGTGGAAGAGAAATTATGGCTAACCAATCTGTTGAGGTTTTTTGAAGTAACATGGTGTGGAAAAAGGGTTACCAGATGTACTGTGCTTGGGTTTCCAGAGGCATTTGCTAAGGCAACATGCCAGTGCTGCTCAATGGCATTCAGGTTAGGTTTCATCAGGGCCACTAAGCTCCTGAGCCTAGTTTAAAATTGGACAAAAACGTTGAATTTCAAAGATGAAGTGACAGTGACTGCCCTTGACAGCATGGCCACATTCCACAGAGTGTGGCTTCAAGGAGCCCTGGCAAGACTGCGGTTGGAGTCATACCTGGCTCATACGAAGATGGTTGCAGTTGTTGGAGGTCAGTCATCTCAGTTTCATTCATCTCTACTGGAGTTCCTCAGAGTAGCTTAAGAAGTTCCGTACAGACTAATCGGTGTGCCAATGTGCACTTTCTTCTACTTTCGGAAGACACTTTCCATGACCTCGAACGTGTGCAGCAGAAAAAAATAATTAAAGGGAACGTTGACTGTGAGGTTACCAATGACCAGAATATTTAAATGGTTAGTCCAGTTCAGTTTAAGTAACTCATGCTCCGATTCCCCAAAGTCTGTCCACCACCTACAAGGCATACATAAGGAGCAAGATCCACTTGCCTGGATCACAACAATACTAAAGAAACTTGACACCATTCAGGACTAAACAGCCTGCCTGGTTCACATTCACAAAAGTTCACTCCCTCCACCACTATTCAGTATCAGCACTGTATAAATTCTACAGGGAGAACTGCAGAAATTCACCAAGAATTGTTACAAACTCATGACCACTGGCATTTCTAAGGACAAGGGTAGCAGAGACACGGAAACACCACCACCTGCAAGATCCCCTCCAAGCTACTCACCATTCTGACTTGGAATACATTGCCATTCCTGGGTCTAAATCCTGGAATACCTTTCCTAGTGGGCGTACCTATAATCAAATGGACTGCAGCTGTTCAAGGAGGCAGCTCATCACCTTTTCAAGTTCAGCTTGGGATGGGCAATAAATGTTAGCAGAGTCAGTGATGCCCACATCACAGGTATGATATTTTTAGGAATGCGGGCATTGCTGGCTAGTCCAACAATTATTGCCCATCCTTAATTGCCTGACAGCAGTTAGGAGTCAACCACGTTGCCGTGGGTCTGAAGTCACAAAAAGGCAATACTAGCTTTCCTTCCCTAAAGGACATTAGTGAACTAAATGAGTTTTTCTGACAATCGACAATGTTCATCATGAGACTTTTAATTCCGGTTTTATTTTTGTTGAATGCAAATTCCGACATCTACCATCATGAGATTTGAACCCCTACCCCAGATGGATATCTGGATTATTAGTCTACTTTTAATAAGACTAGTCTATCACTTCCAACCAAAACATCAAAGGTCACTGCAGAGAACCTCACAGTATAGGCTCATATTGATAAGAGTAAAGGTTTGGCTACCCAACAGGAAACAGATGGCATAAATGGGTCTTTTTAAGGTTTACAGTATATAATGCATAGTGTGCCACAGGTCACTGCTGGGGTCTCAAGTTTTTACAATTTACCTAAATGACTGATGAAGAAATTGAAAGTATTGTTGCTAAGTTTATTCATGGCACAACAGATAGGAAAGGAAGTTGTGGGAAGAACTAAGGAGGCTACAAATGGATGTAGTAGGTGAAGTGACTGGGCAAAGATCTGGCAAATGGAGGATACTGGGGCCAAAATACAAAATTGTCCATTTTAGCAGGTAGAATACAAAAGTATATTACATAAATAATGACAGATTGCAGATCTCATCTGTGTGTCCAACTGTATGAATCACAAAGGGTTAGTATACAAGTACAGCAAGTAATTAGGAAAGCTAATGGAATACTATTGTTTATCACAAAGGGAATTGAATATATGAGTAACTTATGGTTTAGTAATCTCATCATTGAGAATATACCTTACCACTTCTTACAGTATCAGTCTCCTTAAGGAAGGAACCGCTTCACCTGCATTTACTAATAATTGGAATGGATACGTTGCCTTATAAGAAAAGGTTGGATAGGTTATGCCCTGGCTTTAGAACAGTATGGGAAACTTAACAGATCCTGAGGGGTTATGACAGAATGCATATAGAAAGGATTCTACCGCTGCAAGAGAAAGAACTGGAGGGTCAATGTTTAAAAATAAGGGGTTGCCCATTCAAAACAGATAGAAGTAGACATTTTTCCTCAGAAGCTCATGAATCTTTGGAACCTTTTCTTAATAAGCTGCAGAAACAGAATCTGAATATTTTTAAGGCATAAGTGAATAGATTCTTGATATGCAAGGGATTAACCAATACTAGGAATAGGTGGGAATGTCCAGTAATTAGATCAACTATAGCCTTATTAAATGAGTAGCAGGCTGAAGGAAGCAGGTGGGCTATATGCACTTCTAATTCGTATGTACATCCATGATTCCCTTGCAGAAAGGCTGCAATTTTGGGTGTATCGGAGGTCGAAACTTGTGGTACCCCTCGGGCCAGGTTGTTAAGAGTCACTTTAAGAATGGGAATCTCATTACGACTTAGCTGCCAAGTTACAGTGCAAAATAAACAGAATTTTTATTCCCTAAAGATCATTTTAATGACAGTTGAAAATTTATATTGAAAGCCAAGAGCAATCATTTTTAAACCTGCAGCTCACAGAATGGATTGATAGGGGTTTCATCTTCAGTCTGGTTGTTGCTTCCAGAGTTCAAGGAGCCATGATTCTCCAGCTTAGAGTGAGAATGCAGTACCCTGGTTTGGAGGGGGAAGAGGAAAAAGCACATGGGCCACGCTAATCTTTTCTGTATCTTCCAGGTTCAGTGTGTCATAAAGTCAGAGTCATACAGCATGGAAACAGACACTTCAGTCCAACTCATCCACGCCGAACAAGCTCCCCAAACTATACTAGTCCCATTTGCCTGCATTTGACCCATATCCCTCCAAACCTTTCCTATTCATGAACCTGTCCAAATATCTTTTATATGTTTAACTATATCTGCATCTATGACTTCCTCTGGCAGTTCATTCCACACGTGAACTAATCTGCGTGGAAAAAGTTGCCTCTCAGGCCCCTTTTAAATCTTCCTCCTCTCACCTTAGAAATATGCCCTCTAGTTTTGAAATCCCCTGTCCTAGCGAAAAGACAGACAATTTGCTGTTTACCTTATCTCTGCCCCTCACGATTTTATAAACTTCTATAAGGCCCCTCAACCTCCTGTGCTCCAGTGAAAAAAGTCCCAGCCTATCCAGCCTCTCCTTACAACTCAAACCCTCCAGTCCCATCAACATCCTGGTAAATCTTTTCTGAACCCTCTCTAATTCAATAATATCCTTCCTACAGCAGGGCAACCAGAACTGCATTCCAAAAGTGGCCTAATCAACGTCCTATATAACAGCAACATGACGTCTTAACTCATATACTCATTGATCAGAGCAGTGAAGGCAAGCATGCTAAACACCTTCTTAACCACCATGTCTGTGATGCAACTTTCAATGTGTTGCCAAAGCAAGCCAGGAGGTTATGTTACTAACCTCCAGGTGGAAAGTTACACCCTAATAAAAATGTTCATGTTGGGACAAGGGAGATCAGATTTTCCATTGCTTATCAAAATTCAAGGCTCAGATATTATCTATGATAACTGAGTGACTTTTTTGTAATACCTTTTTACAAATATGCTTTATTTTTTAAAAACCCAAATGATCTTTCAGCAAAACAAATTACTTCATGCACAAGTTACTTACATTTTACACCTTGGAAACAAACAGTAAATCTCTGTTGGAACTGACGTTTTCAGGACTTACCTACGTCTTTAGCAACTAGACCAGTAGTTGAGTAAGGGAGTGGGGGTGATACTCTATTGTCTCTTGATCCAGCAGTACCATTATTACTGAATTCCCACCTCTTCTGCTGTAATTCTTGTAGCCAGTATCTCATTGCTTGTGCACTGGGAGCCTGTTATAATGCAAAACAAAATTATAAAACACAAATGCCGTACATTTTTTCACTGAAGTCTCGTGACAATTGAAGCAACTAAAGAGACCCACGTTAAGCAAGGCATTCTGTCACAGGGCTGACAGACTTACCTAGCTAAACTCATGGACCAGCCACTACATTCAAGTCAATATTTGCAAAGGTTCCACAAATGACCATCTGTCAAGGCATGATGTACAGGATTGATTAATGGCAGGGGAGCACTGATTGGATTCAAATCCAGTCTCCTGAACTTAAGTAGGTAGCAAAGTAAAGCTCGGACCCAAGTGCTTTTCTACACCTGTTTTAAATTATTGATAGCTTCCATAGTTGGTCATCTTTACCTCAGATATAAGGAAATGTTGGATCTGTTTTAAAATATATTACACTTCCTAAAGTATGACAATTATAAAGTACTGTAATGTTGTGATACAAATAAGTCATGATCTGTTTGATGGACTCAGAAGTCCTAGGTTCAAATCCAAACATCAGACAGACACCACCCCCACCCCCCCAAAGTGGAAGCTACAGCTCTGAGTCTAGCTTGGCATGCATCAGGATACTCACAGTGGGTATAGTTGCCTATTCATATTACTGTATTGATCATGGGAGCCCATTGAATCCTACTGGCCAAACTGGAATAAAGATGGTTACGACAAAAAGGTAACATTGATGTTATGGCCTATCAGAACATTAATCAGCTGGTGAAAATTTACTGTCTATTCTCCATTTAATATCTTCACAATGAATGACGGGGCGTGGGGGGGTGCTTTAAAACAAAGCCCAGTAATCTGAGCACTGTAACCAAACTGAAAAATAATGCACACTGCTTGCCGTGATCTTTATGAAGTGATGTTATCAAAAAACCCACAAGCTAATGTATTATTTCATGCACATCTGGAATTTTACATTTCACTCGCTTAAACAAAACATTGAAAATCATTAAAAATCTGATCACATGTTGCTATGAGAGAACTGCTGGATAGCTGGCTCAAATCCCACCTGATCCATTGGTGTGCAATGACATCATAGATCATAGAATCACTACAGTGTGTAAACAGGCCCTTCGGCCCAACAATTCCACGCCAACCCTCAGAGCATCCCACCCAGACCCATTCCCCATAACCTAGCTAATCTGCACATCCCTGGACACTATGGGCAATTTAGCATGGCCAATCCACCTAGCCTGCACATCTTTGGACTGTGGAAGGAAACCGGAGCACCCTGAGGAAACCCACGCAGAGGGAGAACTTGCAAACTCCATACAGACAGTCGCCCAAGTGTGGAATCGAACCCAGGTCCTTGGAGTGGAGAGGCAGCAGTGCTAACCAGAGCCACTGTGTCGCCCTCTCTGAACAGGTTGATTAGAAAAAAAAATTGAGTGTGCTAACACAGGATGTTGATTTAATATTGACAGCAACCCTTATTTACTTTTGTGGTTTAAAGAAGTCTATTGCGCCATGCTGATCCCTGCCTTGCAGAAATGGTGGTACTTCTGCTCATGTGAAGTTTTAACACTTGATTTCTTAGAACTGCAACAAAATATTTCACACCAGATATGTTTGCTTTTCCGAAAGTTAGCAAGTGGCATTGACAGAACCTCCCACATTTCAAAATAGAAGACAAACTTTATCTGAGGTGAAGTTGAGCAAATGTACAGACTTTCAGTGGCATGAAAAAGATACTGAAAAATGCGAGGGATCAGGAACTCACACGTCATATATTTAAAGAGAAAGTCTCTGAACAAAGTGTAATAATGGTGGGGCCTGAAATTTTTATAATTCATACAAATTACTGGATGAGGCACAAAGTATGATTGCTAAATTTACACATGACACGAAGACAGTAAGGAGGGTAAGTTGTAAAAAGGGCATAAAGGAGGATACAAAGAAATGGAAGTTTTACATGGTATGACAATTGGCACTTTCCACTACAGTGTCATGATTCTGGAATTATGGTACTTTATATTCTGTTTGCCTAAAGGTTAGGGTAAAGACTTCATGATAATCACAGAATTTAACCTTGAAAGCATGCTGAAAAGTAGTTTGAAGACAACACCAGGATCAAATCTAATCCTCTTCAGAATCATTTTTCCATAGGGAAGCACGGTGGCACAGTGGTTAGTGCTGCTGCCTCATGGTACCAGGGACCCAGGTCCAATTCCACCTCGGATGATGGTCTACGTGGAGTTTGTAAATTCTCCCCGTATTTGCATTGATTTTCTCTGGGGTGGTCCAGTTTCCTCCCACAGTCCAATGGATTGGCTCTGCTAATAGCCCATAGTGTCCAGGGACGTCTGGGTTAGATGGATTAGCCATGAGAAATTCAGGGTTACAGGATAGGATAGGTTATGGGTCTGGGTGAGATGTTCTTCGGATGGTCGGTGTGGACTCAATGGGCCCAATGGTTGTTTCCACACTGTAGGGATTCTATGAAATCAGTCTTCTGCTCCCTAAAAAATTAATTACATCTAGTCATTATCTGGTTAATAGTGCTTTTCGTAATTAACTTCTCCTCGTCAACAAGTTTTATCTCCCGATGCCAATGATGAACCCAACTTTAAAAAAAGTTAACCAGTTAAATACGGTCCCCATTTATAACCACCATTCTTCAAAATTCTGCCCTGGTCAGTGTCACCAATTAACAGGAATTATCACTGCTAACTGGTCATCCTGCTGTTACACATTCAGGCTTGGCCATAGATTTGTTCAGCAGTATCAGTTGCTCCCTTATATGGTCTTTACATTGCCCTATGCTGCCTTTCACAATATTCTAACATGGTAGCTTAACCTTGTGATCATTGACAGCATCTCCGAAAGCCAGACCCATATCACACTTTGGAAGAAAACAGGTTCATGGGACTATTGCCAGCTTCAGATTGCCTGCAGAGTGCAGTGTGGCCAAGTGCTATTATTGCTGGACTGTTAACCCAGAGACCTAGGTAGTGTTCTGGGTACCCAGGTTCAAATCCTGCCATGGCAGATGGTGGAATTTGAAATCAATAAAAATCTGGAGTTAAAAGTCGAATAATGACCATGAATCGATTGTCAGGAAACCGATCTGGTTCAGTAACATCCTTTAGGGAAGGAAACTGTCATCTTTACCTAGTCTGGCCTACGTGACTCCAGACCCACAGCAGTATTGCTGACTCAAACAATTAGGGAGAGTCAATAAATGCTGGACTAGCCAGCAATGCCTTCATCCCACGAGTGAAGAATTGGAACTATATTATTGCGGCTGAGTCAAAATTCTAAAGCACCCTCCCTACCAGCACTGAGTGCCTAAACTACACTGTTCAAGTCAGCAGCTCGCCACCTTCTTTTCAAGAATAAAGAGGGTTGGGCAATAATTGCTGGCCTTGCCAGAGAGATGCACATACCCAGGGAATGAAAAACACCTGAACCAGTATTTCATGTATGATTTCAATCTTTCCAAAGACAGGCAAGTTATTACATGAGGGGAGGCTTTCGTTAACCCATATTAGTTATGATCAGATTCTTTTTGGTTAATTAATACAACGTAATTTCCAAGTAACAGTAATAAGCACGATATGTTACCACACAAATGTTACCATGGGTCATCTCCACGGATTCTGAGCTCATTTATTTTGGAGCCTAATTTTTTAGCAAACAACCTGCTCGAAGATATCTTAGACAGATCTGTAACTGCTGCATTCTAGATTGTTCACAGTCAAAAACCATCCATTTAGAGCCAGTTAGTAAAGGATCTACCAGAATACTGAATAAAACTGGCTAAAATGCAGTAACCAATTTGACAAAGAGAAAACAATATCAAAGTTGGTTCATTTATCTTGATGCTCTACACATCTGCCATCACCCAGTGCAAGATCCAAGGGACCTACTAGGAGAATAAAGCTTCAATATTCCAGTTTTGAACCAATAGCAATAAACTTTACTCAACAATGATACAACAGTAATATAATCTACACTGTAGAATGTCATTCTAACACCAGAACAGCCACGCCTCGTATCAAATCAAATGTGAAGACAGCAGATCTGAGAGTTTTCTCAACAAATTGTTCAGATGTTAACGATATGGTGGGTTGTCAAATCTCATTAAACTTCACAAGCATTTACAATTCTATACTTTCAATGATCTGCCCTTCAAAAGACCCTGTTTGATGACAGACTGCCTTGATGATTGTTCCCATTCTGGTTCAATACAGTGTGGAGCTGGAGGAACAGCAGCAGAGGAGCAGGAAAGTCAATATTTCGGGTTTATACCCTTCATCAGGACTGGGCTTTCCTTCATTTTGTGGGAGCTGCCAAGGTAACTGTGTGGTTAATGGCACCAGGTGAATTAAGGAGGTGGTTGTGGATAGGAATGGGGTCTATAGTAGTGAAGGTCGTCTGTGTTTGGAGGCAAGCACAAGCACAAGCACAAGCACACTTGGTGTACTAACGACCCTTGATGACTGACAGGGCAGAGAAAAAGCATTTGTTGAGAGTGTGGATTCTGCATAGAATGAAAAACAGTAGAGGTCCTTTGCAAATCTGGGAAAGAGGCTCTGAGCTTGGGTAGGGCTGACTGTAGTGCGAGCGCAGAGCTGAGAATTCACAGAGAAAACAGTTTCTGGAGTCTCTGAATGTACTGTCACGGTTCAGTCCAAATTGGGATGGCCTGAATGCTGTTTGGAGTCCATGGGAGATGAGCCAGCTGCTTAGACAGGTACTGACAAACGAGACGTGGCTGTAGTAACAGGTTTGTTTCAGTACATGGTCGAAGAGCTTCAGGGTGGAGGAGATCACCAGTGGGTTGCAGTGGGAGAGAGATCCACCGAGATATTTTTGGAGGCAGGAGGACAATTTCTTCAAGGTGGGCATCCTTGAAACAGGCTTCGCAGTAGGGTTTCAGTGACTAGTAGATAGCAAGAACTGTTCCTCCAGCTCCACACAGTACTGACTTGGACTCGAGCATCTACAGTTGTTGCTACCTCCAATTCTGGTTGATCACTTCCCTGG